CCCCAAAACCCCAAAACCCCAAAACCCCAAAACCCCGTACACCTATGAATTAATAAATGAAGTAAATTATAAGAAAAATATCAAAATCTTTTGCTTAAATTTAGAAAATTTTTATCAATAGGTGAGATCATTTACTGCCAAAGCAGCTGTTAATAGCTCAATTCCCATGTTTTATGACAATACATTTCTATATAAAGGATTGATATAGTCATTAGGAAACCAATTGTCCTCATCCCTCAGATAATTCCATAAATAATCTGCGTTTCTAAGAATATAATCTCTAATACACTAAATTTCTTATGGCAAAACAGGATAAGCAATAATAGTAAATTCTGCTAGGAATCTAAAGTAGATACCTTTGAAATAGGTTGGCCAAGGCTAGCCCTCCATCAAAATCATATCCTCATTCGACAAATACTTTATCATATTTTAAGCATGTCTTATTCCTAATTTTAAATACTTTAAATCTTTATAAATCTAGTAGAAATGACCATAGACCATTATCATAGTGCCTTAATTGTAAGTATATACACTATTATCCAGGTAGGTACCGTCTGCATTCCTGCCATCTAATAATAATCCATATTAGTTGAATAGATAAGGTCTATCCACAAAATATTGGTAATCGAATAAACTTTAATTAAGAAATTTGGTATCATTTGTAAGTAAGTACATTCTTTAGTTTAGTATGATAGTTAGTGTTGTGGTAATTGAAGCAAAATATGGGTCTCTTGCCTAAAACCAATAAACATATCCAGATGAATTTCTGTAGACATCATCTATCTTCTTCAAAATCTCTCTTACTCCTTTCTCATAGTTTAGTCCTGTATATGATAAGTAAGTATCTTTAAAGCCTGAATCAAGATCAGCAGCATAGAGGAGAGATAGAGCAGCCCAGCCTAAATCATCTGAACCTGATATTTAATACCAGTGCCATTGATTCTTATGTCTTATTGTCTTAGCGAAAAGCAACTCATCTACATTAAATACTTTATTTTCAACGAATGCTCTTGTTTACATATAGAATTTATTGGTGGTAGAATTTCTTGGAAGCTTTGATATCAATTTAACTAACTTTATGTTAGATATAATGATTTAGAAAGCTCGCCAGCTTCCCTCACCCCAGTAAAAGTATTCATTTTGAACTGAAGCCATATTTTAAGAAGCTAGATATATTCTTTCTAGTAACTAAACTGATGTAGTAGTAATTTAGTCTGGGAATTTATAAGTTCCATTTCCAATGCAATGATGACTCATATTCTTAGTATCCTAAGTTGCCATTAGGACAAGCTTGTTAGATATTTTCTTTTAAACTTCGATATCTTCAATAACATCAGATTTCAATCTTATCATGAATTGATTTAACTCACTTTTAATACTAAATTTCTCTAGAACAGTTAAAAGTTATCCCTTGGGTAAAAAAGAGGAAAATGTGTATCTATTATTAGCAAAGATAGCTTAAAGATTGTCTTATACATATATCAAATTTCTTTAGATCAAATTAGCTTAAGCCACATTATTAACCACTACTCCCCCAGAATTATAAATAATGGAATATTGCTTTACTTGAGAATTGTCAACTGTTAAATACAGAAGTGAGTCTAGGAATTTATAAGAAAAATCAATTGAGCCAGTAATGTCTTCCTCCACTTGGGTCTCGAAAATGGGACTCTTGGGAGTTGATGGAGATGTATTTGGCTGGAAAATGACTCCAACATTTAGATTCAAGCGATATGATGAAAGTGTGTTACTAGTTCTCTAAATTTATATAGACTTTACTTTAACACTCATTCTAAGCTCCCTTTCTCGATACTTAGCAAACAAATACGGGTACATGTCGTAGAAAGACCCACCAGTTGATAAGTAATAATTAAAGAAATCGTATTGACTTTTGCTCCCCCAAAATTGTAAATAATTATTATTAGTTGCTTGGTTTAACAAATCTTGAAGAATTATTTCTGGACAATTAGAAAGGATAGTGAGAACTGGCATGTTAAAAGCCATACTCAAATAGCCATAATCAACTGTTCCGAATCTTACTATATCTCCTAAGACCTAAAAATCATCGAATAATACTAAAGGGTTGATGTATTTGAATGAATACTTCAAGTTCAAGTAATTTTGCTTGAAACCGAAATTTAAATCAAGGAATTAGTCGACATCCATACTAACTAAAACCACAGGAGATCCAAAGTAGTTATAGAAGTCTACAACGATTGGCACTAACTTAAGAATTTCCTTAAATAAAAAAGCGGTAAATTCAGCACCTCTCTTAACTATAGATGGTGTATATTCCTGAACTAATTATACTATTACCTAAACTATCCCTTGCACATATATATTATAGTTTTCTTACAGTATTATTAAATTAAACTCCTCTTTATACGTTGAAACTTATCTCATTATAAAGGCAAGTCTTCTCTTACTTTTTGCATCATCATCTTTAGGATCTATTGAGAAATTGGCTAATAATTCAAATCCCTCTAGCTATAGGAAGATCTTGCTTGAATATATATTGTAATCTAAAAACGTAAAGGTTTGATCCAAAGTAATGTTTATCTTGTTAAAATTAGGTGTCAGCAATTTAACTGAGTTAGTAGCTTGGTCTCCTTTCAGATAAAATGAGCTAAAGTTTGCATAGTCATAACTAAATGATAATGAGTTAATGCTAAATTTGAAACCTAGTGCATCAAATCCACTATTAATATTTATGGTTTAATCTGCAGCATTTCTAAGCAGTTCCTACAAATCTTTATCATATCTTATGTAATCCTGAAATTAAGTGGTATTGAGCTGAATCACTAGATTACAGTATTTAATTGCCTCTATCCTAAGTAATAGCGCGGATATCAAAATCAATACTTAGGTAAAAAGAATATTGCTTAATCCCATTAATATTGATAAATTTATGTTTTAATTTGAACAATATCTCAATCTATCAGATTTTTTAAATTTTTTATTCATGGGGTTTTGGGGTTTTGGGG